ACATTTATCTCTGTGCGGCATGTTGTACCATGGAATAGTACAGTCAAGGCCACTAGGGGTAGCCCCTGCTGTATAGGCCTTTCATGGTTGGCGCTGATCCACTGTGAAGCCTTGTTCCGTGCGGGCTGTATCCGCTACGAGACTTGGATCCTTCAACCCGATTCGTTACAGTGTATTAAATGCAGTCCAATGTACATTCCACGCCATGTGCACTTTTACAACACCATAAAATTAAACTTTCCTGTCCGAAAGCCATGCAACATTCCAGCGCGCGCAAATCACGTGCATTCATCAAATGCGGACTCAAAATGTGACTGCATCGAACAGTCAGCTGAACTTACTATCGCGCTACCAAGTCATGACAGATGTCCGCAGTTCAATCTGCGGTGCGGTAGGTATATGCAATGCTTATGTGAATGGAAACCCCAGTCCACCACTTGCCCTCTTCGGTGTTCACCCAGTAGGATGATTGTGTCCCCATCAAACAGGAATGGCGTTGACGTGAAGTTTGTAAAATGATTACTGGTCGTACCAGGGAAGATGTGCGACAGACAGAAAGCGTTATAAAGGACTACTTGTGGTCTATGAATCGCAGAATTTACTATGCGATTGGTGAAAGAATGTGTTCGTAAAATATTTTGAGCATAAGCAGTTTCTTCCTGAATGTTGGAACTCTTTGAACGGTGGTTGCTCCAAGGTTAACTCCGACATGCTACATCGCAGTAATAAATTTCCGATGCCAACCGTAGTGCAGTCGGTATTTATCGGGGAAGAGCCATTCATATTCGCAAACTCTGGATCGAAAGATAGAACAAATTACAATATCTCGTCAGATGGATGCTGTAATTTTGTCTGCCTATATCATAAACACATTCACAAGATTGTAATCTTGAAAAGCCGACTACAGCCTTGTTTCCACAGTGCAATCTTGAAAATGTAACGGCGAAATAGTTCACACGTCCCTCTAGATGTACGGCTATTTCTAACGAGTTTCTCGGGGATAGCTGTGGAATAATTTGCAATATATCATTACTAGGTGGTAATAGGTTTATATTAGAGCGCTGACGCAAGTAACCCTGAAACTCCACACTACGTATGACTTCAAACTGGGCGATTGAGGAATTCTAGACCTACATAGAACACAACAAAATGGTCCTCTCAACGCCCGCGAAGCGAAGCTGTTCAGTGGAATTTAAGCTGTTCTGTTCGATAGCAATACCAAGGACTGTTGGTGTGCCTTGGTGAATAGATATGTGGTCAGGGATACGGGAAACTAAGTGCCGCGGCATGTGAAAGCGAACAGATGCACTGGCTATAATGCGTCTACTTTGCGTCTACTTTTAACTCAACGTGAACCAATTTCTGTCATCAATGCGTTGTATTAGTTTTGATAGTAGTGTGACAGATGAGGTGAATGCACCAATCTGCAAGGCTCGGGCCACGTTTGCTAACATGAGACGCCTATGGCGTCAGAATGGTTTATCCCTGAATCTGAAGGGACGAGTGTATCAAGCTACAGTTCGGGCTGTCTGGCTGTATGACTGTCAGACGTCGCCTATTCGAGCAGCTGAACTGAGACGTCTTCAGGTGTTCGACAATTGTTGTCTCAGAACCATAGCTCGTATGGGTTGGTGTCGGCGAATCCGTAACGAGGCAGTAAGAAAGCGTGTTTTCGGTTGTGTAATGGGTACTTTCGTTGAAGTATGTGTCCAGCACCGGAAGATGCGTTGGTTGGGACATGTTTTACGTATGCCGAACCATCGTTTGCCGAAGAGAGTACTGTTTTCCATGTCCAACTCAGAGTGGCGTAAACAGAGAGGTGGCCAACCCTTGACTTGGCAGAGGACTATGAAGGAGATCATGAAACGCTTGAGTGCTGTCGGTGCTACTCGCGTTCCAGGGTGGGACCGCATAATCCTCACTGTGCCGGTTGGCTGTCAACCGATGTCAGTGGCGTTCTTGTTGTCAGTTTCTGTTCAGATTGCCTAAGTGAATGCCTGGAGGTGTAGGCACCTCGGAATGATTGTGTTAAGCTAGCACTAAGTCCCTTCCCCGTCCAACTTTATTCTTTCCTTTACAATAAGGCTTTCAAATAAGTCATGGTTGTACGGCAGTGAAGCATCAATTTTGAACAGCGATGTCACGCTGTCGATGATAGTGATGATGATCAATGCGTTGTAGCTGCCCAGTTTTTCCAGACAACAACTTCCGCTTATCTTCGTTTTTTTTACATGGGGCGAATAAGGATGCGATGATAGGGTACCACTCACTCTGGACTTTAAGTCTGACACCTGCAACGGTTTTCCGGAGGCATCCCATTAATGTGTGCAATGAATACTCTGATGAAATAATCTCCAGAGAGCTGTTATTCAGTGCTCGCTTCTGAAGCATTCTCATACCTCAGGCGTTGCGTTCATTCGAAAGGAGGTCAATTTGGTCAGCGTTCTCTTTCGGTGTTCCTGTTTACTTTTGAAGAATCTGTCATAAATCCAACCGAACTTTTTTCATTTTCTCGTCAGCACGACTATCCACAGGACCGCCGTCCGCGACTTCTTGCACGACGAGGCCAATCCCTCCTGGCGATGCACCAGATTGATGCAGCACGGGCTGCATTTATGGAGGCCCGCCAAATGATTCGGTCCAACTCGTTCGTCATTCATTCACATGAAATCCAGGAGCAACTAGAAAAAGGCCTACTAAAATGTGCACAAATGTCACACAGACCGGATACACATACCGATCCTCCGGTGTCAAGTCCATTGTTCATCAGGCAACACGAAGTTCCTACAATTACGCAGCCACGAAGACGTAGAACGAAGAAAATCAAACGTGCAAATTCAAAGAATCAAAGGTCACCGAGTCCGGAGAGCCACGGCAAAGCCGCGTACAAGTGTACATTGGGAGGACAAAAAGCTGGATGGCACTTGCAGGCCTCTCGAAATATCGAGGCTGGTGAGTAAACTATAAAGCTGTGCCCAATTCATTGTTTCTTTTAATAACCTTCAAGAACTTTTGCTGAGATTATCAAATGAAGTTATCTTCGCTTTTACCAACGTTCTACGATTACCATCCAGTGTTAAGAACGTATAATTTCCTCGGAACCCAACGTAATTAACTATTGGAGCCAAACATTACTGACGCTGTCAGCATTTAGAAATTTCCGATAGTTTTTCCACCTTTCTCAATAGATAAATCTCTGCTGAAGACGAATCGCAATTTTCAGTTACCTTGTCTGTCGAAAATGATGACTGTCGCCTGTACGTCTTGAGCGAAATTTCGAGATGCAGACGTAGTTTCTGACAAAATCATTTAGAGTAGAGTAAAACTAAAGTGTTCATCTGCTCGGTGTTGGCAATCTAGCCAAATCTGATAAATGCAAACTTAAGGTGAATGATAAAAAATTGCAGAAAGGCCTAGATGGCTCAGTGGTTAGAGCACGAATTTGCTGACCGGAAGGTCCGTGGTTCGAACCCGATTTCTGCGTTTCGATTTCTCCCGTTTAGATCTGGGCGGCCAGAAGTAATGAACCGTCACCAGGCGCCCAACGCGGACACGGTGGACCGCTTCAACACTATCCCACTTGTATCCGTCATTGAGTTTGTGTAAGGATGGCCGGCGGTCTTCCACTCTGCAACCGGAAAGCAGCTATGTGGTCACTGATAGCGCGACCAGCCAGTTTAGATTGTCTATTTTGGACTGTTTTTGGCAGAACTGTTTGTTGGTGCATAAATTCTCACTATGATTTGAATACGGAACGTTGGAAGCAGTTCGTCTGTTTTAGTGTATCTCTTTTACTGCGGTCGGCCTTCGGTCCTTCATTATCTGGATTGTCCACTGTCGTATCTGACAGCAACCAACTAAGTGTTTAGTCGGATCATTTGGTGTTCTGATACTGTCCCAGGTTTGGTCGAACAATGCTTGAATTTATTTTCGATGACCTGCAGAACTAAATGGATAAGTAATCCGATTCGAGACCCAAAGATTACTGTTGCTAACGTAGTCCGCCTTTCATAAAAACAATGCATGCATTCTGCTTTTAAGCAACGTTCTTCTAAACATTGTATTTATTCAATATGTCCAGTATTTCACGCTAGGTTCAACAAGTATGCCTTATGTGTACGTGAGGCTTTCTTCCACCTCGCTACTCTGATATCAGTCAAGGTTTAAAATGTGGAATTTTATGGCGTGCTGTTCAACTTCTCACTAATTCATCTTGCTTAAAACGAAGTTGTCTGTCCTTCCCAGGAGAAGTCATTCTGATTGAGAAACCATACGCCCGCCGGATCGACAAGCGCTTCCTCCTCCAACATTGCTATCAGTGTTTTAAACGATGTTTGAATCTCTTGCCATGCAAAAAGTGTTCTGAGGTATGTTTTTCTCACCGAAACATCCTGGTTCTAGGATGAGTACATCTGTTTGTTTTTTTTGTTTGTCTTTCGTGCTTCTCTTGTTAAAGCAATTCGCAGACCGTCAAAACGCCATTCCACCAGTGCTAGAATGAATCAGAGAGTATCCCGTACTCCGGGCGAGAACAGAATGGGCTGAAATCGCCTTGGTCAGAAATGAATATATAACGTTATGAGTGGAACCCTTTAGCATCTGCACCTTGTGTGTGTGTAATCACCACCTCTGTTTTACGTTTTTCTGACACTGACAACACTGCTATTCGTTATCAGATAGGGCGGTGTTGGCTGATGTTGTCAAAAAAAAATCCTAATTCACACAAAGGATCGCAAGGAGCTTGATCGTGGAAAACGGTTGTCGTAAGATAGAATCTTGAAGCTTTAGTTGAGTGTATATCTATCGACACATCTATCTGATCATCACGCGAACAAGCCCAAGGGTAACCGTCCAGACATCTGGATGATGTGTCTTTGCTTCGCGAATTTTTCTTATGTTTACAATACTTCAATTAGCTTGTTTCGTTGTGGCATTTTTTCCATATCAGTTTCCGATGCTACTTGTGTGTTACATTTTAGGTTGGTTTTTGCAGTACGGAATGTGAAAAGGCTTCATGGTTGCCGGATGCGAGCGCCGAAACATCAGACACGTCGGACGCTTCACCAATACCGTCGAGTGTCGTCCGCTCTAGTCACAGATATGAATGTGGTCAGATTTCACGTGTAGACTTTTACGACTTTGCCGGATGGCGTTGGATGGGGAGAAACGAGCTGCCGTCTGGTGTCTCGGAATTCGTGCAGCGTTATCGAATGCGGTTACTTGTCCGGCCACGGGATAGCAATTATGTGAACTGCAATATGACGTGGCTTCCGTTTGCTTGCATTGCGCGTACAGACCAAAAACATCTAAAGCGTTTGATCCAAGTAAGTTTTCAAAAACCACTCTGTGACAAACCAACAGTGATAAACATGAAATATCATCTATAGTTAAGCATTCTGACAGTCCGGGTTGCTTGATTTTCTAGAAACACTTGTTTGAACTCAAAGACAGGAGTTGTTCCTGAAGGATATTCCTCAAATCTAGTGTTGTCATGGACGGAAAGCTGTTATTTTTCTCCCCTGCAGTTTCAGCAACAATCTCTATCCACATTCTTCCCTCAGATCAGCACCCCTGGTGTCAGTCTTTTCTTGAATTGCCTTCTTTAATGAATGCAACTCTGCTGCGTGTGAGCTCAATTCCATATGAATTTTACTTGTCTCTCAAGCGATTATCAAGAATAGCCGTTCGCAACATCGCATGTTCCTAAATGGTCCCCCTATTAGCTGAGATTTAGGGCTGAGTTGCACTATCCCACACGCAGTTAGGGTTTTCCTTTAAAACGTGTACAGAAACGTCCCAGCTATCTTCCAGTTATCTTCGATTGCTAGACTCCATCCTGTTTCGATTAGATCAGACCAATCCTAATGAGGATAAATTTTCTAGCGTCTACTGATTTCCTTGTTGTTGAGTCGCAAGGTTTTGTGATTTTTTTGTACCGTTGCACTTCATCCAGGAGTATATAAGTTACTCGGGGCCAACAGATGATGATATTCCCGAAATGACTCATCGATTGATCGGCGAATTTGATTTCCGGTAGGTACCCATCTTAGCAATTGTCTAACAAAAGCGTCTCTCGTAAAATATGAACTAAAGTGATGCATGTTTACAGAGATCCATTAAAGCTTGTAACAACCTACTAAAATAAATACGAATTCGGACGACTCCATTCTGAGACAAACATTTCTGGTTCAAGCTTGGAACGTCACGTGAGATGTGACAAGCTTGTTTCAGTAGCACTTTAGTTCTCTATCAACTTAATCTGCTGAGACCATTCAGCATACTCACCAGACAGTGCTGCCAACCTCGTTTGCCGTACACCACGAGGTTACTCACCGGTTTTTGTGGTGAAAATACTCAAATGAATCATGATTCGCTTCGATGCTCACAGAGTATTTTATGACTTGGTTTTTATGCTGAACTTCGATTGCCGCTGTGGCACCATGAACGTAACCATTCCGAATGAAATTTGAAAAGACAATTTAATCTACTTGTCAAAGTTTCAGTCCGAGAAATCTCGGTGCAACCTCTTTCGGCTACCTGAGTACCGATGGCAAGAAACTCGTGGCTGAAAAGCATACGAAATTTTCTAACTCCTCCCCTAATGCATACTAAGATGCATGAATGAATTCTCTGGGGACCACGACACTTACGCCTAGAGAAATCCTTCCTTGAGAACCTAGATTTGTTTGGCTCTTCCACACAAATTTAATCTTGGTACACCATCTTCATCCACCTAGTCTAGCAGAACCATCCAGATCACTTAGAAAAATTCAGAACAATCAACAAGAGAATCGGCTGTATCTGTGCATAACAACGGGCAAAAACTCTTTTCTGTTTTGAGAATGTGAGAGAATATTAACCTCACATGAAGTCGGTGGGCTTTTCGATGTTGATTCCTGGTTGCATGGGAAATACGTTTGTCTCTACGGTTGATTCCGAAGACGTCTGTGGGGTTGACTGTGAAATAGGGATTTGTTGTATCTTTTCATCTGCCCTGACACTACTGGGTTATAGTCACAAGACAAGAAGGCTACCTGAAGGAACTGTGTATTAACACAATTACAAACTTCTATATATATGATTCACTTGTCACCGTATTTGATGGTCGATCCGCTATCAACCAACCAGTGTGCCTCCCACACACCCACACCGGTTCTCGGGCGGTTGTTCCTTTGTCTCGGCTGATCATAGATGGCCGTCTGTGCGCCTGTGTACAGGGTGCCTCGGCCACGGAGTGGGTGTGAACTTTCTGTGTCCTTATTTGACGTTTCTCCGGCACATGATGAAATCGGACATGATTCAGACGTTCAGGCGTAATCGCACAGCCCTGTTTGACATGATTGTTCCGCTGCGCAGTAGGCTGATGCGCAGTCGTATTAGGATTGATTTTAACTGCCCATGAAAAACTGTCCAAAGTCAAGCTGTCTTGACTATATTCCGTCACTCGCAGTTGACCAGTCATCCTAGATAATCAGCTGCATGTCGACATTGCCAGTAGACGTCCCGAAATTCCAATAGTCATCGGTTGAGGAGGCTTGTGAGAGAGATCGTCCAATGATTCATTAATGTTTAGGAAACGTTGGAACATAAAACGCACCGTTCAGAGATTAATGGTCGTGCCCCCTGTGTTTATCATCCATCCACCTATTCGGGAAGAGTGTGGCAGCTGAATAGAGGTCTAGACGCTTAGTTACTGCCCCGGCGATTTATAGGATTGCTAGCAACGGAAGTGTGTACAGTGTAGGAAATTTTTTCACCAGAAACTATTTTGTGGTAAATCGGTTTACAGTATACAGAGAGGTTCCTCCGAGAGGATCCTCAGCTGAAGAACAATCCGGAGTAGTTCCCTCTGACAGCCAAGATGTAGTTTGATGTCCACTGGTGGCGATAGGCCCCTTCTCTTACTGTGTGTTCACGTTGTGATGGTGATTTCAGTTTTTTTCGTTGATGCTATTTCAAATGGATATCAGTTATTATTGAACCAAATCTTCTATGTAATAGGGTCCATAAAATCAGTCGACCTGAACTGATTTTTACTGAACCCCCCCCCCAACAAGCAGCACCCACCCCGGTCACTGAGCTTATTGTCCACTGTAACGGGCTTAAAATAGACTCACACCGGGTTGCCTATCGATATGCCACTTGGCTAATCACAATCAATCAATAAACATCTGGATTTCACTGTTTGGCAACTACCGGATTCAAAGATTCTGAATTCCTACCTGAAAACTAGTGATACATTTTGACCAGTGACACAATGACAAAAGAATAGAATATGATCCTATCTTCACTTTTCACAAAACCACGCTTTTAACCTCTCCCAGCCGCAAACATCTATACGCGTCGCCAAGACTAAGCAGGTCACCTATTCAGTAGCTGTAGCTGTCTGAGCTAGCTATTGTCACCTGTGGAACACCTTTCAGTGTAGTATGCAACGTGCAGTACGATATATCGTGTTGTTTTTGGGTCTAAAAGTGCAAGAAATGTTAACTGAAAACCTGACAAAGTTCAACATTTCGTCTATCCCATTGGCGTTCTTTTTGCCTGTGACAGAAATGCATGTTCAGCATTCTCCACAGACCAACGATGCATCAACTACCTCGTGATCCGGAAAAGAAAGAAGCTGGGCCTCCCTGCCGAGTCCACTCTGTATGTTCGACAAATCATTTGGATTTCTCATTCCCACGTTACACGCCAAGCATGATAGTGCCACGCTCCAAGACAATGAGCATTATTATGATATATTCTACCAATTCACACGGACTATTTGCACTGAAGTCCCTTCTTGAATCGGTGGAAATTTATTAAGAAAAGTACCCATTTGGTTGTTGAGGTCCATTCGACGGTCTATGAAAGGTTTCGTTCTTTTTGTGGCTGATCAGGTAGGCGCAGTCCCTCACTTTCATCCAACCTTGTGTTCTGCTCGGACACACACTGTCGCATACCGAACACATTTGTACCTTGTGGGAACTTCTGCTTCAATGTTTGAACAAAAGTGTAGCACTTTTCAGAAGTACGACAGAATAAACTTTGAACTCGATTAAACAGTGTCAACGACATCCGAATGTTTCCATCACGGATATCAGGCGAGAAATGCACATTGCAGCAGCGGAACAAACTTACAAGGTCACACACACAAAACGGACCAACCACAAGGCGGATAGAAGAACGACCAGGCTGTTTGAAGTCACTTCCCACCATCTCAAGGTCACTTTGCATCCATAGTATTAGTGTAACAGTGTACTAATTGCTCCCCATTACCAAGAGCTTTGTACTCGCCAGACCAAGAGACCTGTATGGTGCAGCAGCAGTGGTACGCCTTTAGCTGTTTTTCTTCCACTGCCCTCTACGCATGGGTTAGTTGGCTTAAATTCCCCTCATAGACTGTTGCTGTTGATCAGATCACACAGCGCATTTTTACTTGGACAGATATAGGTGGAAAGTGCTGGTCTCTCACCCAGGACCAAAGCTACTGTGAGGTCAATTCACAAGACCCATCGGATCCCGATACTAAGACTTTGAAACTCTGTGAATTGGATCAAAATTAGGCCTGTTGTCTCTGGTGCAAATTGTTCATTCTTTCTTTAGCAGCATAACTGGCGATCAACGCATCATCAAGCGATGCAAATTTCCGAAAGGCTTCTACAAATCCAAAGAAAAGTGAATAAGGGAATGTTCTGCATTGACTGGATTTAATACCCTATGTCTTACGCTTTTGTGGGTGACATATCCAATCAATTCGTTAGTATCGGGGAGTGATCGATATCCGAATTCCGCCGGCGGCATCCGGTCCATTCCGCTTGGATACTATGGCTTTGAATTAGCTCCTTTTTCTCTGTTGCTGACAATCACGTTTGTCGAAGCTGTATTTTGTTCCCCACAACCAAATCCACGAAGCAGAAGCTTCAAGGAGTTTCAAACTGAAGACTACTAGTCAGGTATTCCGAAAATTAGACCGCTAGTGATGGGAGGAAGAACACCTTTGAACGATAAGTGTAGCTTTTATTCAAGAAGAGGTCCCTCAAGGAGGTAGTCAGCATGTTGCCACGCGAGTAGGATTACTCACATTGCAGCTCGGCTGCTCTTGGCTGAACTGTTAAGTTTTCACCACACCGGCGAAGAGCTCACAAGTTTGAAAATATCTGGAGTTTTGTGAGGTACTCACACATGCCCAACAAGGACAAAACAGCTGTGCAGTGTTGATTGGATATTTAGCATAGACTGACTTCACTCACAGGCTAAAATCTCAGTCGAAGTATATCGCAAATCGTCCGTCAATATGTTGCGACCAAGTCCGTAAGTCCGATTCACTCAGTGATGTCTATTAGTTGCTTTGAGTGTTCTTTGTCATTCGAGTCAACGTATGGAATTTTACTCCACAATTGAGACGGTGGAGTGGTCTATGCGTATAATGACTCAAAAATTAAGCCTTACAGAGTTTGACAGGCTTTAGTTCGTGATTGTATAAACGTGTTTTGGCAGAAAGCGCTTGGATTTTCGGTCAAAATTAACGCGCAACAAAACAAAAAATCATGAAAATTCCTTAGTGTCTCAAGGATACCATTCTTTTTCTTTTCACAGACACGGCCGTAATCCTAGGCCACGTGCAGACTGCTGAATAGGGTACAACATTCCCGCAACAGTTGTGACAATCTCTACACCAGTATCTCTTAGTGTACGCAATGAAAGCAACGGACAACAACCGATAAACAGATTAGCGGCCAAGTATGTCGTATTAACGGAGTCTCTAAGCCTTCTGAACTAATCACCAGAAGGTTATGGAAGCTCGCAATGCCGCATAATGTTTTAGGCTCGCTTATGATACAGAGTTCCCTCAGTCAGCGCGTACAGTCAGAAAAAGTCAAAATCATTCAAACCGCTGGTCCAACTGTTTTGGCAGACTGGCTTGCACGGTTAAGAATGGTATGATGTTGCACACTGCATTTTACGATACATGAACTCGAGACTTGTAAAAGAAGACAGCACTGTAAGGAACGCAATGTTTAAATGCAGAACACTTTAGGTGGGTGTCGTTACTTTCTGCAGAGATGGTCTCATGGCCTGTGGATACGAAACTAGTTAAATAATACAGTGAACAAAATGAAGTGATATTCTTTTTGGCTTCGAAAGTCTTTCCTTGTCTGGAGGCCATCTAATCCGAAGGAAACCCGAGGGGTGAGATGATGGCCATCCGGAATGAGTCTATATGCTTGGGTTGACGTTGAAACACAGGACTTCCGGTCAGTAAGTTCGCGTCCTACGCGTGGAGTGATCCAGAGCTCGCAGATAACAAGACAGTCCATTCCTTTAGTTGGAATCACTCAAATGAGATGTTGCTAGCCGCACTCTGTGCAATTTTTCTGTATTTCCTCGAGAGCACATGACACGTGTGCATGTTTGTATCATCGTGTGCTTCCGCGAATGCGGGTTAACCATAAGAAAACTACTATCAAGTTCCCAATATTGAGTTTAAAGGATTACTGCCCGAGAGAGACAGTTATGACATTCCAAACGTACACAATTACTTTCTTTTAAATGGTACCCTTTGCAGGAGTCCACTGGCGGATTTCTCTTGCGAGGAACTTCGGGCAAAAGGATGCTCCAAATTCTTATCAAACTGGCATCATATTTTAACAAAAAAAACTTGTGGGCAACCGGAAAAATACACTCACTTGGAAATCCGGCTGGTGTTAGCTTGCCGAATGATAGAAGGAGCCATAGATCAGCACCTTCAATTGACGAATATCATAGAGGGGAGGACCACCTGAGAAGCAGTCCTGTCCCCTGTTAACAATGACTTACTTTTCAAAGTAGTCTATTTCGCTAATACTGATTTGTTTTTTATTTCACTGTTTTTCTGTTTCAACATTTCATAATCCCCGACACTTTGGAACCCAAAGCTTGGCACGTAGGTGTATTCTTCTGGGTCTTGAAAACCAACAGGTTTTTGATTCCGTGTTGGAATGCCGTACGCTCAATTGTGTTTAGGTCAACGTGTGTATTTGATTCTTATTTGATTCTTGACTCATCGCTTTCCGACTAAAACACTCAAATCATTGAGTCATTGTTTGGAAATGGAACTTTTTTTCATTAGTGTCCATTCCTCATTCCGTTCTCCGTTGAGGAGATATATTGGCTCCTCATGAAGGTGTTTGCATGCAAAAGAGGACACCACATCTCTATTCCAAAAGGACAGTTTTTGTCTAATATTTCGTTTTGATTAATTATGCCGTTAGTGGTCAGGAGTCTTCTGAAAGGATCAGGAGACGAGCCGAATTGAATGAAGACAAGTGAATTTGAGGAAACCTTTTGTTACTTTTGGTCGAATATCTTGTAGGCTTGCTCCTGATACCAGTGTACGCTGGACTAATCTGAAAGCTCTTCACGATATCCATTTTAAGTTCGATCTATTGTGCTTACCACGAATCCTTCCGCTGCTACGTCATAGGACACACTCGCACAGACAGCATCGACCGATGGTACGCAGTGTGCTTCCGCCAGGCTTTTGGCTTTCTCTAGTCAAAACCACTGTCCCCCGCTGGATGAAACTGATGATGACTACCTCTCAATCGGGCGTCTTGGCCTGCCAGGAGGACGGGTCGCGCCACACAAGCTTTGGCAACTCACAGTGGCGGCCGTGTTCCTGACACACTGTCTGTCAGTGAGTATCCACTTTGAGTGAATCACAGTTGTGTAGCCAAGTTCCTAGCCGAATGTAGTGCTAAGGCGGCCAAAGTATGATTTGTCTATCGTTGACCTTCTACCTGTCAGCCCACCTTTAATCTTGATTTGCTAACGGACTGTGTCTTGAATGCCAACGGAAGTGTGCGCAGAACAGGAAGAAGCTTTTGTGACGCTTTCGATACTCAGAACGGCAACGAAGATGTGACATTCTGATATTTCGTTCGTTCCAGGAATGGAGAAATACTGTCCGTTTGAGACTCGTAGGGCGTCAATGAATAAGTAACAGGTCTCTGATAGTAAGCTACATTCTAAACATCAGTACTTCTGATTTGCAGTGTGATGGCATCCAGCATTATATTCTGTAGAAGGATAGAGTTAACATTCTTGTTGTATAGTAGTCGAAACATACCTATCCCTGTTCCTCATTTATTCAGCTCACAAGTAGCGCACCAAGTCGCAGTGATTACAGGTGCCACGACTTCCTTTAACTCGGACTAGGAGAATAAGGGAACGAAGGTATCGCGTGGGAGGTGGTGACCAAATTTGTGCACTGACAAAAAATGTGTTTGCTGGTCCGGTATGGAAGGGAGTGAGAGTCACACAGTGGAGGCAGTAACTATGGAGCAAGATCGTCTCTACCTGCCTAACACAGGTTTTGTTGGTCCCCATCCGCGTTGGCTGCAGCCTTTGTCAAACGTTGAACTACTTAATTCGTGATGTACATCGATAGTTTATTTCTGGCCCTCTGTAGAAAACTCGCATGTTTATGAGCTTCACTTGTCCTATCTTTCCCGTTATTTCCATCCGTTCTTAGTTGGCGTAACGGGTGTATAGGGTTCACTGTGGGACAGATTTCAAATCCAGTGATCCGGGAATCATACGAAGTGGTCTTTAAAACTATTCTTGGTCCTAGTGTTGATCTGGTTGACCTAGTGTTTCGGGAATCTAGGAGAGTATTGGAAACATCGGATTGGTTGTTTTGATAAGCGGATATGCTTTCACTATTGGCTGGAAGCGAACATTTGTCACGATTGGATAAATTATGAATGGAAAAGGAAGCTTTGTGGTCGTATGAAGATTGATTGCATTGATGCAAAATTTGTTTAGATATAATTTCCGGTTGGCCTATTTGTATGCGTCAAGTTATTGTCTGGTTTGAAGATGACGTTAGTCGTTATGTGATACAATGCTAAGACGCTTAGGAAATAATCCTTGTAGTTATAATCATATCTAATATGGTGATCTTGATGTTCCACTCTACATCATAATTTTTCTCACACACATTGTCTTTCGTCTATGGGCAGTTACTGTGGGGGCTCTTTTAGTTTTTCAGTAGTAAGATCTTGTTGTGTGTCAGTTGAATTAGTTCCTATTCAGCGTTATCAACCTGCGCTATCCACCCACACTTTAGGATCCAAGCCACACTCAAACAAGTGTGAGGCAGCGAGCACCAGAAGGTGGCTGAGTGAATCTTAGGCTGCATGTATGAGGACGAATTCGTCCATCGACCCATTCACCCAACTGAGCATTGATGATGTCTCCTCGTTTGCAAGTCAATTGCCAAGATAGGCGAAAACGGATCAACAACTACCTGATCCATGATTGCGGGGTTTGCAAGATGTGTACTGTTCACATTCACTTCACACTCGTTTGAACAGCCGTCCTCCAGTCTTGGCACGATTATTCTAGTGAATCCACACCACAGTGGAGGGGAAGCACTGGACTCAAGTCTCGTTCTTAGTAGAGCTCATCAGCAGAATAATTGCGCCAGGACAGGAGGACGACTGTACAAACGAAAGTGATGTGAATGTGAACAGCTACCTGATCAACGACCAACGTCAATCCTCATTATGGCACTAAGTTTGCACACAAAAACTGAATTGATTTGTGTGCCAGTGGATTCACCAGTAGTGAATGATGTGAATCATTTGGTCGGCTCGGTCAGCGTATGTACGATTTTTTCCCTAATCCGTCACATGTTTCCCGTAGAGAACATGTCTCACCTTTGCTGTTTATCTCAGTATCTACCTCAATAAAGATCATATGCGTAGGTGCGTTTCGGTGAGCATGCATTGTGAGCAGTTTCTTTGACGAATGCTTAACTGCTTGCCGTCTGAAGCCATCCTATTCATTACACCATTTGGTAACTGAACATGGCTTGTGAGGAGTTTATTTGCTTGGTTTCCTAGTAGGGGGATGCTTGAAAACTGCACGCCAACTCCAGTGACGATCATTGATTCTAACATTGCTTTTATTTCCTGTGTTATCAGAATAGGAGCAATGTTTTACAAGGCTTCTGGACTCCGGTTTCAGTAGATTTGAAAGTCCTGGTAAGCTGTACATAAGGTTACATGGGATTTTTCCCGATCCGTAACAATCATTCCACTGTTTATTGCAAATGAGTAGTTAGATCACTTAGTTGTTGATGCTCAAAGGCAGTTACCGTTCCACAGCATCCCGAAATGCATTCGCCTTGTTCTTCCGCCTACCTGACCCTAGACTTTAGAATAGAGTTCGATGTATAATAAGGCCCGTAGCAGATTCTAGAGATTTCCCGGTCAATGTCACTGTAATTAGTTTCGGAAACTCCCGAGTCACAACGGTGGAAAGATCACGTGAGTTTGGATTAAATCAATTAGACAAACCGGACTAGATTTAATCCAGCATGACTTTGGGATAATGTAGACAAAACATAAAATTTTATGAAATTTGGTAGACAAAAATGTCATGAAGGAGCTAGAGCGTTTGAAAACATTTTTTCTATACCTTTCTATTTGACCACTCAGGCTGGAGGTTATGAACTTGACTGGGGAAGACATTGTTTATCAAACGCAACTGATGACCCATTACCTGCGTCATGGGCAGCTGCCTGTTTATTGCATGACCTACAAACTGTGTCCCTGCTGGCGACAAATTCGCTCCAGGTAGAGTACACCACGCCCAGTAGCTATCGTCAATTTCCAAGTTGCCTGATTGAGTCCAACCGTGGAATATCCCTGATGGGAGGTAATCGCCTCAGAGTTGGTTGCGGAATATATCCAATGCAGGCTATGCTGCTGCACTCCTGCGATCCAAATACATTGACCGTCACGACGAACAACGGCACAGCTGTACTGTTTGCAGCGCGGCCCATAAGAAAAGGGGAAACACTGCATAGAACATTTGGTATGCACTATTTCAGTCAAAATCGAGTTGAGCGTCGTCTAGTTTTACTCATGATGTACAAACTCGAATGCCAGTGCAACGCCTGCAAAGAGGATTGGCCTGTACCCCTTGAAGATGTGAATATACGTTGTCAAAATTGTCATCGAGCGATCCGTTTGACAGGAAGACACTTACAATTGGCGGACGAGCGAAGACCGAATTGTCATTGTCCATTGGGAATGCAACAGAGGTTCCTTCATCAGTACATGAGGATCCGATCTGACGTCACTGAGCAAATGCGACAGTTTACAGACTATTGTCAAAGCACTCCATTCGACCAACTTTCGATTGCAGCACTGGACAAAAACATTGATCGGTATCTTCAGCTACTCAACAACGAGTCGGTCGAATCACTCATGATGCCTCCATCGATATCGGTGGAGCTGATAAATCGATCACTAGATACCGGGCTACAATTGCGCTATGGATGTACGTTTGCAATGACAGATATGTCTTCATTACATGAAAGAGAAGAAGAAACATCAGAATGCCAAATTTCCTAAAACTATGGAAACTCTGAGGCTTTGGCCTGACAAAAACCAATTCCTTTTCTCGTTCGAAACGGACGATTAGATCACTAGAGTCGTATCAATCTAAAGTTGAGGCATTTTGATTCGGTTTTCTTTATTTTAAATAGCCTATCTATTCTCATTCTCAGAAGAGCGGATTACCAGTTCCAAACCTTGTGGTTTTCCAACGCTTTCTGAATGAAACACATCAGATGTAAGGAAACAGAAAACCAGTCGTATCCATGCTTGAGTATATTTCGGTGTTGATTGTTGGATACCATGATTACACCAACGTAACTTTCTCAAGAGAGTCAAGAATAACGGATTCGACGTCTTTATGGGCGTGACCCCAAAGTAATAAATGAGGCTCGTCTTCGCTGTAATTGTTGACTGATCAGCGATCTTAAATGGATTAGTTAAAATGAGACACCACTGACCTACAAACTACGAAACTTACCAGAATAGAAAGCTGTTGAGTACGATGACCCAGTTCGGTTACCCGTAAAAATGGTGTGACGCGTGGTGAACCTGCAGGTATTTGCTGAATCCAAGTGATTTATCACCGACAATCAGATAAGAACGTAAGTGAAGGGTTGCGATCCGCTTAAACTACTCGGCTCGGAGTTCCAGCACGAATGTTCGATATGATGGGTACATTTAAATGCGGATGTCTGTGTACTTTAGTGCATCAAAATGCAGTTGATAATTTTCTCTCGGAGAAACTGCCCAAAAGAAATAACTTTTGTCACGTTAACTGCACCGAGCGGGCGAGAACTCTGAACGCACAGCACATCTCTTGGTCACTGCCATCTTTTCGCCACTATTATCTTTTCGCCACTGTTATCTTTTCATCACTGCTATCTCTTCGTCACTGCACATACTACTATCTTTTCGTCACTGCTCTCTCTTTGTCACTGCATATACTACAATCCTTTCGTCAACCGGGTTTCCAATCCCGGTTAACGCTCCTGGTTGAAGCATTACACATAAGCAGCTGCACTGACACTAAAGTCAACGTAAACTCATAGTCGACAGCGCCTAGACAGCTGAAACTGCCGAAATTCAGGTCTCGAAATTTCCGCAAGTATCAGTCGATGAAACACTCACCAGAACAATGGAATACACAAGGTTTTCCAAAAACATACAGGGTTGCAATATAAAGACAGAAATGCGGCTTAACTCATCGGTTTGAAGAAATACATCTTCCTTTCAAAGGTTTCCAAGATATCGAGATGCAACACGCGTCATAAGGAAAAGCAGAACCTTTACCATAAAAATGCAGAGTAGCGACATGTTTCACTGTTTGTACGAGGTGAACGGATTCGCTCGTGTCTATCATGAGCTAATTTGCCATTATCCCGCTCTCGAGGAAGTGTCTCCCAAGATATTACCCGAATACCTTCTTTAGCTTCGAGTACGAACGCAAGTAGGAATGATAAATTACCGCAGTCATTCTAGAGATACCTGGAAAATCATCTTGACAGAAGCGAATTTCCAATTTAATGAATTCAGAAGGATTAACACCATGGGCTCGTTAGAAATGTTACGCAGATGCCCGGAAAATGGAAATCGTCCCCAGAAACTATGATGTTCCCAAAGATACCACTCCTCGCAGGGTCACTACGTCTTCGTGTAATTACCAAACATGCACGGGTGAGTTTTCAAGTCACTACATAAGAATACCATTGAAAACGTTGCTCCAGTAATGAATGGTGGCGCCTTCATAATAGCGCAGCGCAGTATACTATAATTGTAAGTTTTACGAAACATATCGGTGTAGCAGTGCAACGCTCTATACTACTGATGAAGTATGTGAGTAACATATGGTCTTGTGACCAATCCCCTATCTTGCGTCTGATAGACGGCGTGGTTTATTACAGAAATTGTGGAACCGCTATGCAGCGTATGATAGTCAATGAATATCCAGGGTGGTTGAAAAGGACGCGTGATAATATTCCGCTTTTCAAAATCTCTGTGCACATGAGAGGCTTCCTTGCGTGTCTAATGGATTGTGACTAGTTAGTAAGTATTCACCAACAGGTAATTTCGTGGCAAAAGTCTTTTCCCCTTCCGCCACTAAGGTCTTAAATCACTCACTTACCTGAAAAGAAAATTATTCTGTGGATAGCTCTGTGCCGGTAACAAGGTGTCTACGATATTTTTATGCTAAATTTTACGAGCAAACCTGAATTTGCTGGCTGTTTGTTCCCACCTCAGTCTAAACAGACGGAATAATCTCTTCATAATGTACTACTCATAAGGTTGCTAAAAATCCATCGACAGCCCACGGCCGGTTTCGCCCTTCTGCTTTGGGCTCATCAGGTAGGCGCAGTCTCCGAGTTTCCGTCAACTTTTTGTTCTATTTGAAACCAAATTGCATGGAATTAGTGAATATACACTCATTTGCAAACTAATTTGGTTTTTAAAGAGACTCATCTGGAACCCAGCTGAACCACTCTCATAGTTCGAACTAGTAGCTGTGACGATGGAAGCACTCTCGGACGTTTACATCCTACATTCAGGAACATAGCTTCTTCATTACATGGGTTTGTAAAACCACATTGTTCCAAACAAAAGATTTAATATCCCTACATTTCTCCCAAGCCCTCGGCCGAACACTCCCCTGTCACCAACTCGATGAAAAGCTAGAAGGACGGATTCTCTACTGATATTCAAAATACCATTGCTCACGTATGCGTGGGAAAGTGAGAATACCGAGTGGATTTAACGCAACTTATTGGTCATAGATTAGCTAATTACTGACTCAGTTACAGACCCAGCAGTGGTTCAACCACTCTAGCACACTAAAATTCCTCGGCCGACACTCAACAGAGATTTAGCTTGAGTTAGATGATTGGTTCTTCTTCCACCTTAAATCGCGACCAACCTCGGAACCTAGTCACTTGGCCTGACAAAGCTTTCGTGTCAAAAGCAAAACGTTGCTCTGCAATAAATCTACCGATTTTCACCAAACTTTTTCGAATGCAACCCTCACACTCCAAGAGGAAATTCTACATTCTGATTGAAATTAATTGGGGGCATTAAAGTGGTTATGGTGTCATTAGGATATTTTGGAAATCGACAATTCCCGGTGGGCCGGCTACATCTCCGAGCGGTAATTCACCATCGTGATCCGTTAGCTTGGAGATATCTCCAAGAGCCAGCCTTAGAAGGCCAAGTCATGTTCTTGCCAGCCGAGTGGGTGAATTCGGCTCACATCGTTGACTAGCATATGTGTACCTCATGAGATGCTCCATCGAAGAATTTTCAGAAACCTTATGAGTAGTATATTACTTCTATATGTGCTTTATCAAATTACAGGACACAGCTTGATTTCCTGCCCAGCCAGCCGAGAGAAGTTAAAATGGAGGCTGAAACTACTTCATAAAATTTATCTAACAGACTTAGTGACCTCAAAGATTCTTGGCAGAATTGTCCGGGTAATTGTTAGCATTCCGGAATGAATAAAAGAACGGCAAAGTGGTGTAAGCTATTTTTTAACCCACAGTTGGTTCGAAATCGCGCATGGTGAACTGGATCCACTTCTCGCTAATGTGCGCTGGAATATACTCGTAGAGCGGTGAACTTGCGGAAATTGCGCGGCTATTTCCAAAGTGAACCAGGGTGACATTTTTTCGAACAATGCTAGATTGTTTAAACTTTGCGCCAGCAGCTGAGGTTAAACAATGTTCCAATTCGTAACGAGTTTTTACATTGAAACAAACTGATTAGTTAACCACAGCCACTCGAACGGCCAAACTGTTTTTTTAGCGAATGCAACATGGCGGTTGTTAGACACTGTTGTGTAAATTCGAGTGACGCGTGGGTTCGACAGTCCTGAATATCGAAAGTAAAAAATTGGGTTTGAAAGTCTTCGGCACTACTTACACAAGAGTAAGCAATTGTCTACGTTCGTAGCATCAACAATTGCACAAGTCCGTCACTGGCCGGAGCACTGCAGTGTCAACGTCGCAAAACAGCGAGAGGAATGTTGGCTCAGTAGTGCGGTTGTGGTCGTCCCTTTCGTCGACAGTGTCGTGATTCCCATCGGCGGTGAGATCACACGGAACTCGTGAGAAAACGAGTCAATTCATGTTCAGCAAACGGGACGCGAACGCCCCTGGGTAAAGTTAGCTGCGCTTATTCACATGCAGGCACACATGCTAAAACACAAGTGTCGGACGGCCCGACAGTTGCGGCAAGGTGAGTGGTGGGCACAAAGAGGAGAGCAAGTGGAAATTTAAAGTACATCGGTGGAGTAAGCAAATGACTGGATAAATTGTCATGAGATCAAGCCACACTGCCAAAGTGACCACTTCCCGCATTGTACACGAAAGGCACGAGGGATGTACAGTCACTGGCCTGTGAAGCAGGAGACAAATGGACGTTGGATGCAGCGTATTATGCACGCTTTTTCGCCAAAGGCATTATCTAAACAGGTTGTGAAGTGAAATGTGGCGAAATATGAAGGAATATGACTACAGCCAGAGTGTCATATGGAACCCGGATGGCTTTACTGACAAGAAAGTTCACGGTTAAACGTCACAGCGGAGAATCTGGTAGCACGCATCTGAGCAGTCATTTTACCCATTAAATGATATTGTTCCTGAAATGCTTACGAATAACCTCCATGAATAGGCAAAACGGCTTGCACATACGAACAAACTACTCGCTGTGCAAAAACCCACACATGGCCGTGTACCTCCAGCATCCATTCTGTCCTTGAGAAAATTATGTGTAGATCTTGTACAGAGATACTGCAGATTAATTATTCTAGATGGATTTGTTCATTGGAGTGACGTCCACATCTTCCGGAAACTTTGAATTAGAGTCCTTCGGAACGATGGGTCGCCGCAGCGCCTCACCCGATTTTCTGACCAGCCTATCCACGTTCTCAAAGCATCACTAGGATATAGGTCATGCCTTCTGACAAACTAAGAATCCATCAATCACTGACTTCCCTACCGGAGTCAGTCGGCATTTGGAACGGTAATTATATACCTCCCCACTAGTATGGACTTTCTTGAACCCAGTAGATACCACCCCTTCAAAGGGTAGCACTGTTCGCTCAGGCAAACAGCTCTTATTCACTTATTTGCCACTTGACTGGCAAGTGGTTGTACGTACAAACAACTACAGCAAGACAGCTCTTTACTCTGTTAAGCAAAACTGACTGGATGGCCGGTAATTCGCGTAAGGTGTGTTACTCTATATTTCTGGTCCAACCATTTTCA